CTCTTGGGAAGCACGACCTGATCATCAGGTTCCTGAGAGGAGCGAGGAGACTGAATCCTCCTCGCCCTCCTCTTGTTCCCTCTTGGGACCTCTCAGTGGTGTTAAATGCCCTGCAGAGGGCTCCCTTTGAGCCTCTGCAATCAGCTGAGCTTAAGTTCCTGTCAATGAAGACAGCGCTCCTGGTTGCACTGGCCTCCATCAAGAGGGTAGGGGACCTGCACGCATTCTCCGTTGACGAAGCGTGCCTGGAGTTCGGGCCGGGTCACTCTCACGTGATCCTGAGACCCCAGCCTGGATATGTGTCCAAGGTTCCTACCACTCCCTTCCGGGACCAGGTGGTGAACCTGCAAGCGCTGCCCCAGGAGGAGGCAGACCCAGCCTTGGCACTGCTCTGTCCAGTACGCGCTCTCCGTGCTTACGTAGACAGGACGCAGTGTTTCAGGACCTCAGACCAGCTCTTTGTCTGTTATGGTGGGAAGCTGAAGGGAAAGGCTCTCTCTCCAAGCAAAGGTTGTCTCACTGGATAGTGGACGCCATTGCTTTGGCATACCAGCAGCAAGGTCGACCGTGCCCCCTTGGTGTGACCGCCCACTCCACCCGGAGTGTGGCGTCCTCTTGGGCTTTAGCGCGTGGCGCCTCGCTAACAGACATCTGCAGAGCTGCAGGCTGGGCGACACCTAACACATTCGCCAGATTCTACAATCTCCGAGTGGAGCCAGTCTCCTCCCATGTACTGTCTTTTTCAAGCTAACATGGGAGCCGTTAGGTGTCTTCGCTTGCTCGCCATTCCACTCCACGGACTGGATACGTGCGATATTTCCTCAGGTGAGCCTTCCTCTCTGAAGCCCTGAGTTCCTCCAGCACTGTTGACGCTGGCGTTGTGCGTCGGCTAGGTGCCTCCGTGTGCATGTTTCCTCCTCTGAGTAACCCCCACATGTGTATTTCCACTGTAAGCCTCTTTGAGCATGTGTCTTTCCCTCGGCAAGCCACCTTGCCACTCCTGGAGTTGAAAGTTGCCACCCCACGGGCTGGTCACTCCAGTGTTCCTCCATATGAAGCCCCCCTCGGGCCATATGTGTATTCTTAAGTCCTCCCTACGGGTAGGCATGCTGCGGCATATCTCCCCTGAGATATGCTTCCCAGTGTACCTTGGTATTCCTGTGTTAAGTAGGACTCCTTCGTCCGTGCCTATATCACGACAGGGAGGTCAGACTTCGCAGGGCACTGGAAGACAGCTGTGAAGGTGGCGTGATTACACGGGGACCCCCATTCTCCGTCATCCGACGTAACTCGGAGTGACTATGAAAGGGAATGTCTCGGTTACGGATGTAACCCTCGTTCCCTGAGTAGGGAACGGAGACGTTACGTCTCCTTGCCACTTCCGCTGTACCGCTGGGTAGACGCCTGAGTTCAGTCTCGGCTCCTCAGCGAAGACATGATCTGCTTTTGCCGGTATCTCTCCTTAAATACCCACGCGGTGGGGCGGAGATACGCTATGCAAATTCCGCAGACCCATGGCATTTCATTGCCATTGGCTCGTTTTTTAATACTCGAAGATGATAGGCTTTCTGGCGAAACCCCCATTCTCCGTCATCCGACGTAACGTCTCCGTTCCCTACTCAGGGAACGAGGGTTACATCCGTAACCGAGACGTTTCCCCCTTTTCCCAGTACAGAATGTGTAAGGCAGCACTGCATTAAGAGTTTGCACTAGACCAAGTGAACACTGTAATTGTTCACTTGGTCTTTAATATTTTTTTAGCCCAAACGCACTTGTCTCCATTCACACTTTTTTAGTTTTTTATTTATTTAAATTTTGTACTTCTACTTTGTAAAATAAAAAAGTGACATTAAAGTCGTTGATAGAAGCGTTGATAGAAGTGGCCATTTTCTTTTGTTTTTACGCTATACTTGCAAATGTCAGAAAATAGTCAAGTCATCTTCATTTATATAGCGCTTTTAACAATGGATTGTTTCAAAGCAGCTTTACAGAGATAAACATATAATTTAAGGTAACAGAGATTGTTTTGGTTTTATAGCGGTTCTTGAATAATGTTATTTCCAGCTAAAGTTAATTTTGATTGATTCACCTCCGTCGAAATGATCAGACTTTAAACGCGAACCTGTGATTAACGCTGACAGCGTTCACATGCACATTCAGAATTGATTCTATAGTGCTTTTGAAAATATGTGCGCAGGTTTGTAATTCCATACAACCCATGCCTAAACAAACTACTTGTCTTGCCTATAAATTTTGATACAGAATTTTGTTTTATTTTATCACTTCGGGGTACGCGAACCGAAATTCACAACGCTTTATCTGTAGAGTGGGAAAGGGATCCTCCATAGGGAGAGGATAGTTGACACTTCAGCACTGCATTGTCATCGGGTCCAGGCGAATCTCCTTCGTCAGATCTGGATACGGCCTGGATCCGGCAGGCTGCGGGAAAACCTCGGGATAAACAAAGACACTAATATTAGCGTAGATGCCATTCTTCTTATGATGTAACGAGTACATCAAGATTTAAGGGAAGTGTTCCCAGTTCCGGCTGACCTAATCTATGCAGCCTAACATTGAATTATAGAAGTCTATAATGTATTATGTGTATGCTAGGTCAAAGAGATGTGTTTTTAGTCTAGCTTTGAACTGACAGAGTGTGTCTGCTTCCCGGACAATGGTAGGAAGACTGTTCCAAAGTTTTGGTGCTAAATAGGAAAAGGATCTACCGCCAGCAGTCGATTTAGATATTCTAGGTATTGCAGAATATCTGGCCCGAATTTTGAGATCGCAATAGGCGTGAAGGACTATAATGCGTTAAGAGCTCGCTCAAGTACTGCGGAGCTAAACCATTTAGTGCTTTGTAAGTAATCAACAATATTTTAAAATTTATACAATGTTTAATAGGGAGCCAATGCAGTGTTGACAGAACCGGGCTAATATGGTCATATTTCCTGGTTCTGGTAAGAACTCGGGCTGCTGCGTTTTGAACTAGCTGTAGTTTATTTATTAAGCGTGCAGGGCAACCACCCAGTAGAGCATTACAATAGTCTAGCCTTGAGGTCATGAACGCATAATAATAAAAATACAAAATAAATAAATGTGACCAACAAAATGACAACTTTATTTAGACAAAGCAGTCAAGTCAAGTCAAATCATCTTCATTTATATAGAGCTTTTAACAATGTAGATTGTTCCAAAGCTGCTTTACAGTGATAATAGGAAATTAAAGTAACAGAGATTGTTTTGGCTTTATGACAGCTCTAGAATAAAGTTATTTTCCAGCTAAAGTTAGTTTTAATTGATTCACTTCCGTCGCAACCGTTCGACACCGTTCCAACAGAAAACTCTTAAGTTCTCTCTAAGCAAACTTTAAAAACGCGAACCTGTGAGAACGCTGATGGCGTGCACATGCGCTATTAAGAGTTCATTCTATGGGTATGCGCGTTTGAATATATGTGCGCAGGCATGTAGTCCTTCCCTAAAAAAACTAACCCTCAACAAACTTGTCTGGCCTCAGTGGACTACAATATCATGCTGTAAATGATTTGGGCAACAAGAAAAGGACACTAGGGGGTGCGCAGTGATAAAACACGTCAGTGAACTAAAATCCTAAAGAATTCATTCACAAAACACCCCATTCACACACACACACACAAAAATAAACTGCAATCCACGCCATACTCCCAAAATACAATGGCAGCACATGGGACCCATCCACGGGGTGTATAGAACGAGGGAGAAGATTATTCCTCTCAATCAGTCCTGAAATCAGCCATGTAGCAGCAGAACAGTGAATGAGTGGCAGTACTCTCCACATTGAGGTTACGGTGTCACTAAAAGGCAGACAGCCCTAACTCTACTACCTCACATTTACCCCCACTAGGCTAACTATATTTCTATCTGCATCTCTGGAGGGTCTATTGCCCCTGTGGGCTTTGAGATCACTTCCCCCACATTAGTCACCACCTCTCTGTATCCTTGCAGTCTCCCCCATCTAAAACCTTCTCCTCCCCATAGGTGAAAGCAATCAAGTCCGGCTGTCCTATTACAGCCAATTAGAAATTTCACCACTTTCTAATTGAGTAGCCTGAGTAGTCAGGGAGAATGTTAACGGCACTATCTAACACCACAGAAATAATTAGAAAAATAGAGAAATAGGCTGAATAATAAATTCCAACAGATGTACGGTCTTTGCGATCTGAACTTGTTTTACATTTTAGCAAAGAAAGAACGATTATAATGCAAATATAGGCTTTAGTGACATCATTCTTGCTCTGGCTCTGGATTTGAAAGTCGAATCCACACCATCTAATTTAAGCAAGAACTTTATTGAAGAACAAAGAATAATCACTTTTGAATAAAGTGAACAATTTAAAGGGACAAAAAACATTAATTTTATTTATTTTAGGACTTTCATTTTAATATAAAAACAACTTATCTTATTTCAGCAAATTACCTCTCAATCAATCCCCAACTAGTGTTACAACTCACCCCAGGGTGGTTGTTGCAACAACATAACTCTTTGTATTTATTCATCTGTGATTGTGTAGTACATGTCCAATTGAGTTATTTTTAGTAGACAAATGTGGCTACCGTGTATCACAGTTTGAGAGATCTAGCACAAACAACCACTGTAACCATATTGATGCTCAAACAAAAAGTTAGGCTACTAGCCTACCATATGTCGGTCTCCCCCTATTATATATAATTTCTTTCAGGAAAGACAAATCTTTATCATAGTTGTCAAATAAAACAAATGTGTGTTTTATTAAAGAATTGCTGATGTAAAATCAGTGTGTGTGTGTGTGTGTGTGTGTGTGTGTGTGTGTGTGTGTGTGTGTGTGTGTGTGTGTGTGTGTGTGTGTGTGTGTGTCGGCGCATCGCTCGCGCGGTTGGGGCGTGGCCATGAGCTGTGATGTACAGTCAGAGCTCTCTGTTTTCCGCGAACTGCTTGAAAAGACATGTGTTGCGCTCACGGTGCGTCACATTACTTCCCTACTGCTTCTGCAACATGTACCATAAGACACAGATGCAAGCCAGTTTAAAGAGGAACGTCAAACAATAAAAGCAGCTCTGAATTATTTCAGGGTAAGTAGGCTACACTACCTCTTCCAAATCCCATAGATGATTGTGGCTTTCTGTAATAACTTTCTGCTCGTCAGTGGGAACTTCCTAGGAATGTCAGAAATTAAACAATGTATCTTTATCTGCCTCTAATGGTTTTAAATAATTATCTTAAGGGAATTAATGCAAATAATGTTTTTTTACACCAACAGATGTCCGTGTTGGCAAATCACAAACTTTGGAGATCCGTGGATTATTGTTATTTTACCAGTGGACAAGCTCTACAGAGTGACAGACAGACTCATGACATCCTAACTAGCCTACTGTTTAAAGGTGTTTCTCTGTGAAGTGTGCAGCAATGGATTCTTTATACATCGCTATAGAGCTGGTGATCGCCGTACTGTCAATCGCTGGTAATGTACTGGTGTGCTGGGCTGTGGCCATCAACTCCACTCTCAAGAACGCCACCAATTACTTTCTGGTGTCACTAGCCGTGGCAGATATTCTGGTTGGCTGTCTTGCCATCCCTTTTGCCATCACTATAAGCATTGGTCTGCGCTCAGACTTTTATGGATGTCTTTTCCTGGCGTGTTTTGTTCTGGTACTGACTCAAAGTTCAATATTTAGTCTTCTTGCGGTTGCCATCGACAGATATCTGGCTGTAAAAATCCCCCTGAGGTGAGTGTTTGACGCTTATTAGTATTTCCTTTTCATTGTCACTGAATTATTAATAACTACCTTTTTATGACTCTTGGTTCTTAAATTACAATGGTAAAAAGCCTTACCTATACCTAAACAGTTTCACAGCTGTTTTGAAAGAAGCTTTGGCATTTACACGCGCGTGTAACGTACAACATTCCGCGCGTGACACCATGGCATGAATCTGTTCTTCAGTGTCTTTGGCATTTTCAGCAGTACTTTTTTCATTAGTATTATTTAGTTTATTCATCTTTATAAACACAACAAAATTACCATCATCTTTCCTAAAATGCGGTTATATCGAGTAACCATTATTTAGGCTAGTTTATTCAAACACACAACAAAATGATATCATCTTTCCTGAAAGGCGGTTATTGAGTAACCACCTTAATTTGAGATAAAGCAGCCTACTGGGATCAATTTGATGCTCGTGCGTCTGTTGCAATTCGTTCGAAGTGCATCTAGTTTATCAAAGTTAAAACACTGAACGACTTATTCAATCAGGACACAGGACAGCACGAAGATGGCACACAGTACTGAAGCTAAACTCGGCTTCCTGAAATGGATATATCGGTCTTTCTTAATCTGTGTTAATCTGTTTATCTCATGAGGGCGTTTGAAAAGAAGGTTGTTTGTTGTCAAAGAAGAAGCACCTGATGATGTCCTTCATGGTGATCTGAAGGGCTATGACAACAAACTTTAACGATAGGATTATGAAAAAAAAAGGTCAACAAAGAGAAGATAAGTGGCAATTCTAAAATACAATTAAATCTGGAATATATTCTACATAATAAGTAAATAGTTCCTTGTCGTTGCATTGCACATAATTATTTGAATGGTTGTCTCACGCAGTAAAAGGACCAAGGTAAAGAAGCAGTGTTTTTATTTTTTTTTATTTTTTTACTCTTTGAATGTTAAACTAGCTAAAATGTAAATGTTGTCAAATCTGAAGCTCACGTTTTAGAGTGACATCTTTTTACACTGCTCAGTGTTGCTCGTGCTGTCCTATTTCTTCTGAATAAGTGGAAATCATTGGAAAGAATAAAGAAAGGAATACACTACATATTGACATATTGCATGTCATAAACAAAGCAAGTGTGCATGTAATTGCTGTAGCAATTACTGAAATTGAATATGCAGGGCTTGGATACTTCCATAGCCAACACTGTGTTAAGTCCTGTGGTAATGCAGTTTCTCTAGATTCACAGTGTTGGATGATAGTGTGGAACAGGGGCTTTTCTAGAGTTTGATCATCATGGGACACAGGCATTATGCATTGAAACTCTATTTTACCATGGTAATTTTAATCAATTACTAACCAAATTAACTTCATCAATGCAAAATTTACATTTCAACACTTGATCATACCTAATGTAAAATTCCTGAAAAAAAAAAAAAAAAAAATCACTACCATTTTCATGTGCAAACTATGAAACTATTACCTAAATGAAACAATCACTTCAAAAAAGCTTTCACTCATGATGACTAAACCAAGCCACAGACGATGGCAAATTAGAAAAGATAAGCAGGCATTATTTTTGCAGTTAAAGGAATAGTTCATCCAAAAATTAAAATTCTGTATTTAATACAAACCTTTATGTCGTTCCAAACCCGTAAGACTCTCGTTCATCTTTGGAACACAAATAAAGATCTTTTTGAAGAAATCTGAGCTTTCTGTAGGCCTACTATAGTTTCTGTGCTTTCTGGCTATAAACTGGCTTTGTTTATAGCCATTTGATTTTTTGACATGCGCACATTGCACAAATATACAGTTTCCCGCTGTTTGCGCATAATAACTATTCTCCTACATTGGTTCTTTATTTGTTTTAAACAGCTGACTGATCATAATTTGGAGACAATGAGCATATGAACCGTTGTGCCAGGCTGCTTATATTTATCATGCTATGCCTCTCCTCACGCCCAAAACGTGTGGATGAGAATCCGAAACAAGGACTGGTGGGACGTTGTCCTGCTCCACTTCACAGACGCTGAGTAAAAGGAGAATTTTAGAATGACGGGAAACTCATTTTTATGACACTTTATTCAACAGGAAGAACAGCTCGTTCCGCGCTATTACTTTATTTCTACGTCATTGCAGTCCTTTCAGTTTCGGTTTTCAATCCGATCAAGTGTTTACATGTCCTCTCGATCGGATTAGAAAAGGAATTTAAACCACACCTTTCAATCCGATCAAAATTTAATTCGGATCGAGCTCAACTGGATTGATTAAGGTGTTTACACGAAGGCTTTTCAGTCCGATCAGTCAATCCGATGGATTACTAATGGATCATTTGGTTGCAGCTACAACTACCAAATCGTAAAACTAATCCATATGAATTGAGTACAGTATGTAATTTTGTATAGAAGATGTATAGAATTCACGAATCATATAAATTATATATCAGCTAATAAATTAGTTTTTGTATTACCTGTACGTTGATCACACTATGTTGTCATTGTGAATTAGCTGCCAGGAACGTGAAATGTAATGCTATATTAGCCTGTTACTAATATGTGACTATTTTTCAAATGATTTGGTGGGTTAATGCTGCCACGTTTAAAACAATCATACTAAAAGTACATTTGAACAAACCCATAGTATTTGCAAGTATGGCTAAATATTTTTGTGCAACACATACTTAATTTCACTGCCATAGACTTGGTCACCAGACTTGATAAAAAGCGTTACTGAAGTACAAACAAAGTGCATTATAACTGTAGTGTACAATAAATAACATACATTTGCTTACCTGTCTATTAAAGCGGAGTCTCTGTGGACAGTTTAAGTCCAAGTTTGTCACAAAGCTCTCCCCATCCTGAAAACGGCACGCCGATATTGATCCTTGTTTTATTTCTTCGTTTTTCCCAAAGCCTATTTGCCTAAGTTGATCTATGTTTACGTTTTTTGGGATTTTCTGTATTCGCCAATCTATATTCGTGAACCATGATGACTGAACAACACAACAGCGGTTTGCGAGATATCGTATCATAGATTGCATACATAGATTCCTCATTAGCGGCATATGTATAGCCGTAGATATCCATAATAATAGATGTCTCGTCCGCGCTGCTGGCCAATGGAGGTCGACGTCCGCACCTGGCGGCCATCTTGTCACAGGCAGCTCGCTCACTCGTTACATTGTGTTTTAATGGTGCATGTACTTCCCTTTCGAGGGAACTCGCGATGCGTCAACGACGCTTTGGGAACGCCCCCAGCGTGAATGCGTCTGAGCATCAATGTCAACTAGTCCAATGGAAAGAATGAGCGTCACGGGCGGGTGACGTCATGACCAGGAAGGGATAAAAGCACATCCGGTGCAAACCGGCATTAGCTTCTGTGTCTCAGCAAGCGATCTGTGTTACTCTGTCTCTGTCTATTTATTGTTGTCTGTTCGATATTATTGGGAAGAGTTATGGCGAAACAACTTTACAAACTCTGTGCTTCTCCCTGCCCGCGTTATTTAACGGGTGGGGACACACACGAGCTTTGTGTAGTTTGTTTGGGAGTGGAGCATGCGGTGTCAGCCTTCGAGGGGGCTGATTGCCAGCATTGCGAGATGCTTCCGCTCCGCATGCTCCGCTCTCGCCTGGCGCTTTTCGAGGAAAGTGGCCAGGCTCGCGATCCTCAGGGTGCAGGACCTGTGGATCGCGAATAGGATCTCTTTACGGGGTTGGAGACGGGTCCGCGGATCTTATCTCCTCCCTTTCCACGAGGGATCCAGTGCTCTCTCGCCGGTCTCGGAAGCCCGCGCTGCGGTCTCTTCCGCCCGGGGAGAGAAATCAATGCTTCAGTGCTCTACCTCCGAGGAGGTAGATGTGCTGGGCATTGAAAGTGACACAATCATGGGGGAAGTGGATTTGCCATCTCTTCCCCAGCGTATGAGAAATATATATAGCCTATATATATATATATGATAGTTTATATATTATATATAAAATAAAGTGAATATGTATAAAGAATGTATATATAAAAAAAAAAAAAAAGCTGGTGGAGGTGTTTACTAAGGCTGTAGATAAATTAAATATTTAATGGCCAGCAGAAATAAGGGGGCACTCGTCCTAAAAATAAAATAAATTGAACGAGTTTCCTTCCCTCTATTTTTCCACCTCCATCACGGGCCTTCCATTTTTCCCGATCTGCACAGCGAGCTGTCTAGATCATGGAAAAAGCCTTACTCATCTTTTAGCCCCACATTCATGTATATTCAGATATTTTGGGGTTAAGAGAGTATGGCTATGGGGCAATACCCCGGGTAGAACAGACACTTGCGAGCTATCTGTCTCCCGGTTCAGTATCGTCCCTGAAGGCGTCGGCTTCTCTCACTAAACCATTAAAGAAAACTATTTTTTAATCTAGTGGGAAAAGCATATATGGCAGTGGGTCTAGCATGAGCCATATCAGGCTGACCTGCTGTGGTATTTGGACAGAAGTGAGGGAGTTTGGCCCGATGGGGTTTGAGAACTCCGTCGGGCCTCAGATTTATCTCTCAGGGATGGCAGCCCTTGTGGTCACTGAGAGACACCTCTGGCTCAATTTGATGGGAATCATGGAGAAAGATACAAGATAATCTCTCCCTCGCTATGTCCAACCCCCTGGGGCTGCTGGGCGTGAGCAGCTCCAGCCGTCTAGTTTCTCATACACAACACAGCAGCCAAAGCCTTTAAAGCAGAAGCCGGATCCGAGGACCGTTCTTCATGCTGAGAAGGCTGCGGCTTAAAAGAAAAGGTCTGGCGCCACCGGCGTCAGACCGGTGAGGGCAGCCCCAACCGGGGTGGAATGGTGTACACCTCATTATACGGTACCCTTTCCATCTCGGTGCCCTCAGGGGACCGTTCTGCCAACCCCGCCACCTTTGGTGCTTCGGGGCGCAGCGTTCTCCAGCGAGCTTCTGGTGCAGCGTCAACTCGACATTGCGTCGGACTCGCGCCCTCTGAGGGGGGTTCGAAAACAGTCAGTTCGGGTGGTTCCTGCCAGTATG